CAAAGGTAACGTGTTTACAGCAGCCAAGGCCGGAGTTGTGTGGAGCAGGAGGCGCTGGAGGCTGCCGGAGGCCTCCAGGCCGCGCGGCGCTAATTGATTTACCTCAGATTATTTTTTTCATTGGATCTACTGTCGTCGTGTACAAGTCTGAGAAAAGAGAAACTCAGGAAGAAAGACTCGGGAGGAGAGAAGCAGCACTGGAAAGGAGCTTCTTTAAAAGGGAAAATATCCAGGCATATTTTGTCTCTTCCTACTGTAGTATATATATGAACTTTGGGGATATAAGCTCTATAACTCATTCCAATATGTCACCTGCAACACAGGCAGGAAATTTGCTCAAGACCTTGCTGTATTAAGTGGTGTGAGTGCACTGAGGTGCAACCTGGCCAAGATGCAGGCAAGGACAGTGCACAAGGGAAACCAAAGCTGCACCAGTGCCTGAACTAGGCAAAAGAGCAAACGCAGTGGTAAGTACTGCAACAGCAAAGTTTCTTGCTATTATCCTGGTGTATTTCACCAACGCTAGGAGCTGTTCATGGGGTGCTTGCTTAGGCTAAGGAGGCAGCACAAAAATGATGCTTGGTTCTGTAGTCACTGCTTAAGACCTACAAACTTCACTCCTCTGCTGCTGGGAGCGAGTTTAGTCAGAGACTTTTGTTCCGTGAGGCTTCCCATGGGGTCTGGAAGCAGCGCTCGCCACGCTGACAGCAATCCTCTGCGTCTCCAGGCTCTTCTGTGTTCCTTGTTAACCTTCAGTCACAAAGTAATGAGATGCATCAGACATCATCAAGCTGGCCTAAGGGGTTACAAATCTGGATCAGGGCCACATACTGTACTAATTGCTTCTAATAAATTACATATTTCAGGAGGGACATCATGATTTTAATCATTTATTCTGCATGTTGTTTCCTTTGGAGAGAAGAACAAGCAAGCACTAAACAAGCCCAGCATCTGAGATTCATGGCAGAAGCTAGAAAGAGCTCATTTAATATCAGCCATCATTGTAAATACTAGAATTATGCATGTATCAAATCCCTGGGTATGAACACTTTGGGAACAGCCAGTGAGCCCTGTTTGCTTTAATGAGGCGAACCAAAATAATGTCTTTGCATGTCTCTCAGATTTATAACAACTCAGATTTAATCCCATTTCAAATGTTGTAGCTTGGGTCTAGCTGAAATAAAAGTCATTGTTTCTATGCAAAGAAAAATACATTAGGAGGGGGATTTAAAGGACGTATTCTCCCAAAGGCTTCAGCGTGACTATCAGCACTTTGAGCAGACACGCAACGCAGAGAGGGAACAGCAGAATGAAATGCACCTTTCACCTCTACGGGGAAAAACTTTAATTATGACTTGATGGCAGCTAATTGCACAGGTGGTTCAGTGAACACAGGAAGCTACACGAGCTTCCCTTACAGCCCGCTGAAATTAGCAGGGATCATTACACTGATCTCCACGGCCTCCTGACGGGGAGAGCGAAGGTTTCCTATTCCCCCGACATCCAGCACGCCCTCAGAGCCCTTTGGAATTGCGTTTCCTCCACTATGGGAGACCTTGGGGGGATTTAAATAGCCGCTGGTATTAATAGCAGGAGCTGGTAGGTAAGCTGGAGACTTGGGAGCTCCAGGGAAAAATGCAAGTTTGTGAACAACCTTGTTTCCCATTACTTTAGTCCTTGCTTCCTTTCAATGAAGAGTTGATACGCCAAAAAAAAAATAGGCTATCTAGGTAAAGGGAAGCCAATTTTGATGCAGCGTGTGGTTTGAGGATGGGGAGCTGCAGTGGTAGCTCTGAGATTCAAAAATGCTCTTTGAATTTTGGGGTGGCAACGAGGTGCTGAGGCAGCACTGTCACCTGGGTATGGTCCTGGGCAGCACCATGGACCAGAATGTGAGGATGTCTTTAATAGTGTTGTTTGTGGATGGGTGGACATACTTGCTAAAACACCTACCCTTCTACTTGGATACATTGGGAAAGGACCCAAGGATTCCTCTTTATTTTTTTTCCTACCAAAATAGAAACAGGTAGGAGGGAGAGGCCTCAAGCAATAAGAAATGACTGGAAAAGATTGCACTGGGTAAAACTGATGATCCATCTGAATGAGAAACCTTCCTCTGGTGGTCTTTATGGTATTCTTCCTAAGAAAGGACAAAAAAAAAAAAAACCCTCTGCACATGGTGAAGGAGAGCTTAAAATGGAAGGAGAAGATGGTGGGGGTTCAAACTTAGTGCCTAAGTGCATTAGCAGTTAGAGACAAGGATTTGCAATTCAGTCAAAGAGAAAAGCCCAAGAGTAAGACAAGAGGGAAGGGAAACAGTCAAGAGAGGCAGAGCTGATGAAATCATAGAACAAAGGAAAATTAATGGATTTTCAAGCACATGGGATAAACTTTTCCTTGATGTAAACCAGTGTTAGCATTTTAAAGGCAAAGGGGTATTTTGGCTTCAAGTATTTGAAAGTTTAGCCTAATACATTTGAGCAGGCCTGAATTACAGAAAGCAATTTCAGCCTTCCTAACTTTCACTACTTTTCTTAGTTATAACCACTAGCCAGAGATAAGAGGTATTGAAATACTAAAGACAACGTGACAAGAGGTTAACCATAAAATCCTGAAAATATTATGGATTGATTTGATGCAGTCTTCAGCCTCCAAAATTATCAGCTTTGCATACTACAATAACAGCACAGAATAAGCAAACATTAGTGCAGCAGGCTTAGCAAAAGAAATATTAAGAAAAAAAAAAGACTCTTTGACATCCATTAGGCATAGTAATATAATACTAGCAAGAACACTGTGCTGCACTGCTATCTGGTTTGCTGTGTGATTTGCTCTGCAGATTACCACTTAGATCAATAGCTCTCACATTGATTTTTCCAGCTTGCTGTATTCCAGTAAAAAGCCCGGAGCGCGGCGATGAGTCAGCTCCCTGCGCCGTCGCAGGGACGCCAGGGCATCTTCACGTCGGAAAATAAAGGCAGGAGCTAAAGCACCACAAAGATTCGGAGAGGAACCTGCCTGCTGCCCTGTAGCACGGCCCTGGATTTACAGACACGCCAGCGCCTGGGTGCCCAGCGCCAGGCACTGCAGTCACTGCTCAGATTAAACAGCAATGACAGACTACTACAACACCAAAGCCGAATAGCAAATGGAAATGCCTGTTGCTCTTTTCTACCAGCATCTCTTTTTCAAGGCTGGTGGACAGGAATTGAGATTTATCATCTTCACATGTAAGAGGATGAATATATTCTAGCCCATCATCAGTTAATAACATGCCCAGAGGTTGTGGAGCAGTCATAGAGGATGTGGAGGATGTTCAGCCTCCAAAATCTCCTTCTTTTCCCTATTGAGAAACATTTTTCTGAGAATGCTGAAGGAGAAGCTGAGCCTGCAGGAAATTATCATATGCAAAGCTCTGGAAATATTTTGTAATTAAGGATCCTGCTTTTCTGAAAATATTGCTAAATACTGCCATCTTCAACAGCTAGGAAATTTCAATTATTTATATCACTACAGGATTTTTACAAAATTCTGCATCTTACATGAATGCTTTCATAGCACATACTATTTCTGATTACTACCTACCTCTTTTCTTCTTAGTCTTTTAGTCTAAGCAAAATAAGTTTCATGTTTTAAAGCAGCAAAGAGCAAGGAATAGCAATCTTCTATTCTAGGCTGTTTTAAAATAGGAAGGATAGTATTTTTGACGGTCACAGTATGGTAAATTTGGAGCAATCCTGCGTGTTTACAGGAAGGGTTATCAGCTTCCAGGTTCCCACCTCTGTATCTAGGAGAACTGCATAGTTTAGGGAAATAGGAGGGGCATTTTGTGCAAGCTTTGTCCTGTTTCCAAGGTATTTCAGGTTAGCCATGTGCTATGTTGGATCACATACTCTTTCCTTCCAGAAAGTCCACTCACTGGGAAGTAAGTTGAAGTAGAAATGAGCTATCCCAGCTACTTCTCAAACCTCAGCAGGATCTTAATGTCTTTAGCCCCTGAGAGCAAAGACACTGTCTGCTTCCACAGAGCTCTTCACCTACACAGTACTGAGTTTATGCTTATACACATAGAGAATAACACATTGGTGAGATTGGTAGGTATAACTGCTCCTCATACAAAGCTTTTCCCTGTTGCATATTACTATAATTGACTATAATAACATGAGTTCTGATACCTAGTAACCAGCTCTAGCCCATTTTGATAAATAGATAGAAAGTCTTCCAAAGCAGCTGAGTGATGTTTTAAGCTTTGCTAAGATGAGAATCAGATAACCAAAGTTACAGAATGAGATATATAGGACTGGTTATTACGGTACCTACCGACAGCGTGGGTGTTTAGTGCGACAAACCAGATGTTCTAGGTTTTCCCCAGGTGATAAATCATGGTTAGCAGAAGGAATAGACACTGAGGGTGTTCATTATCTGGCTGGACAGCGTTTGGACTGAAGACCACTTCAGTCTGAAGGCAGATAAATCGCTACTGATCCTGCTTGCCTGCAAAAGTGATCAAACCAAACTCTGCCCAGAGCCATTTAAGACGGGAGGCCTAAATGCAGCCACGCTGATCACAGCTAAAACTCCTGCTGCTTTTCGGCTCATCACGAAAAGCACTTAAGCCCTCCGAAGATTTACCGAGATTTCTCATTTCCTCTCGTCTTCGCAAAGAAGGGCTTTGTGCTTCCTATGATCAGACGCTCCGACCGCAGCTTGGCCACCCTCCTCCTTGCAGCGCTCGGAGGGTGAGGCAGGGCAAACAGGAGGGATTTAAGCAAGAAATAGAAGGTCATATGGGGCAAAACCTGCTAAAACAACCGTTCGGGGAGTTCTGCTCAGAGTCTGATACGAAATTATGTTCCCTCATGTTGATAATGGCATCGAGAAACTGCAGAAAATAAGCTTGTTTTTTAATGCCACTTCTGCAAGGCTGTGAGGCAAATAACCAAGGCAGAGACCGGCGCTGCCCGCGCGCTGCCCCGCCGTCCCCGCAGCTCCCGCGGTACCTTTGATGGGAGGTGGCGTGTACACGCTCTGCTTCCTCTGCTTCGGGGAGGCGCTCTGCGACTGCGGGGGAAACGCACAGTGAGAGGGCAGCCGCACGAGGGCACGCGGCTGGCGGGGCTCTGCCTCCTGTCCCCAGAACCCCTGCCCTGCGAGGGCTTGCTACCCTGGCCAACACGTGTCTCCTATTCGAGATGCCCAGGAGCGCTTGCAAAAATGTAACCCTACTGCCTTACCCCATCATAAGGGATGGAATGATGCCTTTTATAAATAAAATATTGTCTTCTTTTAAAAGAGAAAGCTATTTATAACCACTATGTGATAGGTAATTGATCCTGATCCCTTTTTTGTATTCAAATCCAAATTTGAAGCAATCAATACTGCCTACTGCTATTTAAAGCTCTGCTTCTCTAAGCAATCAGTGAAGGAGAAGGTGGTCAGGGCAATGCAGGTAGAGATCAGAAAAGGAGGTTGGAAAAGCTAACTTTTAACTGCTCTGCAAATGGTAGCAATCAGCTGTGTGTGTGGCAATGGGTGCAAAAGAGCCTGAAGTGGTTTTGCAGAGTACCAGTAAGCTCAAAGCTTGGGCAATGCTGGGTGGGGTGACCTCTCTGGTTTGCTCTGTTGCAGCGGTGTGACTTGGAAATGATGGCCCCTGAAGGGCTGTGTAACTGAAGATGGTGTGACAATGTAAACAAAAATATAAACTGGGATGAGCAGCACGTTTCAAAGGGGTTTTAACAATAAATGCATTATATTGTATATTATGCATTATATTATGTTTCACTTACTTCTCCTTGTGAGATGTTTGTTCTCTTCTCATCTTTTTCTAAAAGAGGAAAAGATATGGATAGAGAAAAGTTAGTACAACAGTGTTTCTCTCAGTGCTAAGTATTGCAACTCTGCCCTGAACTCTGCAGCGCTGAGAAAAGAAAAAAGAAATTGCTCTGCTGGAAATAAGAAATTGCTCTGCTGGTTTACAGCTTTTCTCTCTCTTCTGTGCTTCTTCGAAAACCTGAGGCCTTGTTCTTCATAAGCGTTTATACCTAATTCCCATTCTGCATTTAATCAATTTGTGCATAAAACGAAATTATTTTTCAGGTGTTTCATTGATGTAGTTAATGGTCAGAGACTGTTAGTCCCCTGATGATGGTTCCTCAAATATTTTACAAAGATCATGCAGAATCTTTGATACAAAGTAGTTTGGAGCTTTGAAAAAAAAATGTTACTAAAAATAGTGACATCCTTCTCTCATTATACCAACATCCTTTCTAAAATTTTCCACTTGCAGATATCCCTGTGCAATTTCCACTCAGGTCTGACCAATCTTAAATGCAGGTTTGAAGGAAAACCCAGTCATATAATTTATTTACCACCGTATCTGTGCACCTTCAGAGGCATTAAAATAACTAATATTCTTAAAAATATAGATCAAAACAGACCTGATTTATAAAGCACAGTCCAACAAATACAGAATTAGACAACACAATCACAAGGCCTGTTCCTGCCATTGAAATTTGTATGAACTCACATAGATGACTCACCACTTCCTTGACTTCCCTACCTGTAAATAAATATTGCAGTACCTATTATACTTTGTAAATTACTCTGGTGTATGAAGACATGATGAGTATAAATGTGTAACCATTTACATACTTGAGAGATATTGACTTCAAAGATTCAATTTTTAAGATTTTTTTTTTAGCTTAAGATTCTGGATTTAGTTTGGAGGCTGAAATTTGAATAAATCTCAACTTTCAACAATGCAAAGTTATGTCCCCTTTCCTCCCTAAACCCTAAACTTACCCAGATTTCAAAGTATTTTTGGTAAACCCAAGGGAGGCTTGGATAAGGAACAAAATCAGAAAAGCAGCAGTTTTGTTTAGTTCCTGGTTTCACTTCTGAGCAATGCACAACTCTAACATTTTGGGCTTGTGCTTTCAGATTTTTTAGGAGGGTGACACCAAACCTGCCACAAAGGTGCCCTTTCCAACCTCTCCTCTCCCCAGCAGCCCTTTCAAGACAGACACCTTTGTGTACAGGAATTGGTCTTCTACAGAGTTGCAATAATCATTCATATCCATAAGGCTAACAGTGCCAATGAAAAACATCACAGCAATAAGAAAGTTTAAGAATGACTTACACATTCACACAAACAAAACAGTTTTTCAAATCCAGTAAAGAGAGAAATGACCCTAGAGGTTCAAAGGAGACAAGCTTGAGGCAGCAGATAGGAAGAGTTTTGAATGAGTAGTGCAAAGAAATGAAAGGCAAAGACGGTTAGAGTTGCAATTTGGTCAGTGATACATTGCAATTCCATTGCAATCTTTTTGCTAGAAAAGACTATCACTATGCGTGCTATCACTATATATACTAGTACTACAATAGGTTATTTCTGGCATCAAATGACTCCATGCAGAAAACCTCTGAGACAACAAAAATTATAAAAAAACTAGAACGTACAAGGAAAGAAAGAACATTATCTGTTAGCTAATGCAAATCAGACATATCCACACGAGGGAAGCCAAACCAACCGCAGACTTCCCAGCCTTAAATCTCTGTCAAATCCATTGATAACAAGAAGCACAATTTCTCTACTGAACTCTCAATAAGCATGCTTCTTGAGAGAGGTCAGGAAATTATCTGAAACCCAATCACAAACGCCAGGCTTGGTTCTCAGAAGAGAATGAACTCCCTGGTTTCTCAACATCCTTCAGATCTCATTGACTAACCATTTCAGGATTAGAGCCTTAGGCTTTGGTCTTTATCCAGCGCAAAATCCCCCTCCCTTTCAAGGAAACCTTCATCCAGCTATACTGCTGAAATATGGAGGGAGAAACACCAAGGGATTAGCCTCCTGCAAGCTCTCCTGGATGTTTATTAGCAGAACCATCCAATGAGATTGACATAACACACTGAGCAACTCCAAAGGTATCATCATATAAACCATTGTGTATATCGTCAGAAACCAACCAAGCCTAAGGAAGCCTGTCACTGCTTGACACTGATGGTCGATTTTCTGAGAACCTCCATTACGGTTCAAACAGCACAACTGTGCTGGGGGACACCTTATGTTCATTTTAGGATGAGATTAAAATTCATCTGCCTCCCTTCTCCCGATGGATAACGTTAATGTACTTGGAGCAACTACACAGGGCAAGAGGTGACATATTTTAAAGGACTTGGCCTCTGATGTCACCCACGGGCTCTGCAGTGGAGCCATCCTGCAAAAGCTTATCTCATCCAGCTAAGTGCCCTGCTTTCTTTCCCTTTGGCAAGAGCAAATAAGAGCCCTTTCTGTAGGACTTCACTCAGGCACTGGAGGAAAAGAACAGAACAGGTCACAGAGGGCAGCTTTTACACAGAAGAAACCCAGTAAGTGGCTAGCATAATTGCTGGAGAAAGCTTTATGTGGGGAGTTTGGAATTTTCCTTAGGAAAACAAGGCTGGAAAGTTTCAGATAAATATCACAGAGGGCTAATAGGGCTCTGGATTTGGTAATTTTTTGTCATAGTGTCTAAATTTTCCCTTAAAAATAATGATTGCAATACGCTGTAATTGCTCAGATTATAGACATAATCCATGAGCTCTACTCATATAATATTTACATTAAATAATGACTTAATGGCTTGTTTAATGATTTAATGGCCTGAATCTCAGAGAAATGACTCTCAACAAAACTTAAGGCCACAATGTCACTGTTGGCCTGGAGCCATTTTATAATCCTGGCCTAAGACACTATATAAACAGTGCCACTGGAGAAAGCAAAGTAGATGCAACAGAAGCCAGGAGCCAGCCTGTCACGCGAGGATTGCAATTGCAATGCTGCCAGCGTTAACGTCAAGCTACAAAGACATCAGAAGATGCCAATGCTATGAAATAGTCCAACCGATTTTGTTTTATTCATTTGCATGAAATGCCTCCATGGGGAAACACTAGCATGTTGGCGAGCAAAAGTTTGTGTCCTGAAAAATGTGAAAGAAATGGGTCAAACGCTGGCATCTGATTAATACGATTTATGACAATATATATCTTTGTAGGTCAGAAAAGGAGATTTTAATGTTCCTATCTCTGTCTCTACCAAAGACAAGTTAATGACTTACACGACTTACAAATTGACAGGCATAAGATTATTTTCTCTTTTTTTCTGTTAGCAAAACCATTCTTCTTTCCAGAAAACAAGGTAAGGTCAAAATGTATTTTATGCTCTGCCTTTGGCAAAATCACTATACTTCGCCAGAACAGCTATCATCCTGTATCACTTTACTAAACCACAGAGGTAAGAAATGGAAAAGAAGCCCAATGAGACAAGCATATGAAATGCTCATCTAGGTAATTATTTGACTTTTGCTTGCTGGTTTTTATTTGTCTGTATCTATCTATAAAAACTTGACTATGGGTATAGATGTAATTACATTTAATTACTAAAAAATATCCTGGTAAGCCCTGCCGGCATGAGTACATGTTTGTGAAAATCTTCACACTGAAAAAGCTCCTCATTAAACTGCAGTTTTCCAGCTGCTATGGTAAATGTAGCTAGAGGGCCTTTTCCCCCCTCTTAGTCAAGTGCTGACAAGAGACTATATATGTTATGGTTCTGCTGCATTTCACACCCTAATCAGCAACTAAATTACTGCCTGGTCCTGCAGGGAACACTAATACCAAGGTCTGGAGAGGAAATAATGATAAAAACATTGAGGAGAGGGGAGTTTGCTAGATACACAAGCATTTCCATGCTTATTCTACAAGGTGCTTTCGGCTAAGATAAGCAGTATGTTAAAGAAACGGATTTACATTGACAGGGCCTTCGTTGCTAGAAGTTCTGTTTCTTGGCTCAAAATCAAATGTGGAGAGGAGGGCTTCGTTACGTTAAGTAGTTACATGGTAATAACAACATCAGTTGGCTTGAGAGGACGCAAAAGGCCCCAACAGCAGAACCGGTTGGACCCAAGGACAGGGCCGAGTCGCGCAGGTGCCGTGGGCTGGCGCAGGCCTTGCCTGGCGGCCGGGGCTGCGCGAGGAAGGAGCAGGGCTCCTGCCAGGCCGGAGGGCCCCGTGGCGCTGCGGCCTGGTCACAAACAGAATGCAACTGCCTTGGAAAGCTAAAACAAAGTAACTTCAGATGAAATTACACTGGGGCCTTTTTTCACTGATTTCTACTATTTCTTTTCCTAAAAAAATAGAGCTTTGTTCTGCAGAATTCTCTTCCTACTCAGTAGGATTCTTTTGACTCGTGTTAATTCGCTTCTGTGCACAGCATTAGAGAGCTTTATTTATGGTCATCCTGTAAAAGAATAGTCCTCTACAGCACTGTTTTTGAATGCACGCATGTGTGTGTTTGTGTATAACTCTTCAAAAAAATTCTTCTTTTGGTGTATAGTCGGCATAGTCCAGGCACTGTCAGAAGACATTAATTTCTATTCAATTCTGGCAGTTGCACCATGCAAAAGAGAGGAGGCAGAGCTGCAAATTCAGTGCCACGACAGTGACTGCTGGGGAGGGCCAGGACGCGACGCTGCTCTGCACTTGGCCGACCAACGCAAGGGTTCCCAGCCCCTGGGCAGGGTGGTCTTGTGCTTCCTTAGGACAAATCCTTGCTAATGGTGCTGAAAGTCAGCTTGTAAATGAAGGAAACCACCACCCATTTCCTCCCAACACAGCAATGTCTCCTCCAAACACCATCTGCATCGCTGAGAACTGCACAGGCAGCCTCGAAGGACGCTTGGAAAATTGCACGGCCATCGAGGTATGAAATAAAACCATCTTCCCTAAATTACACAGATCATGCTTTCCCTAAAACATACAGTCTGAGACTACGATTTTGTTTGG